TTGAATCTGAAACTCTGGGTGTGGGGCCTACCAATCCAGGTGATTCAGATGCATGTCAAAGAAGATACTATTTAGAAAAGCATCTGGTATGGGGTCTTGAACATAATAGGCATTTAATAAAAATGAACTGCTATTACTTTTTCTTTCTTTTTAAAAAATATATATTTCTTTATTGATTTTAGAGAGGAAGGGAGAGGGAGAGAGAGACAGAAATATCAATGATGAGAGAGAATCATTGATCGGCTGCCTCCTGCACACCCCCTACTGGGAATGGAGCCCGCAACCCAGGCATGTGCCCTTGGCTGGAATCGAACCTGGGACCCTTCAGTCTGCCAGCTGACGCTTTATCTACTGAGCCAAACCAGTTAGGGCTGCTATTACTTTTTCAATAAATAGTTCATTCTAGCTCCTTGAAAGAGATTTTCTAGTTAATTCTATACCCTTGGAAGAAATACAGTAGTTCTATGTATTCAATTATTCATAGGATATAATGACAATTTGTTTAAAATCAAATTTATTGTCTTCTACCCAAAACAGATTTCTTTCTCTAACATCCCCATTTCTATCAATGGCAAAAATGCATGTATACATCTCTCAGCATTTCAGCCTGAAATGTCCCCACTGAAAGAACATATTGGGCAATATCAGGTGCCCATAAGCCTGGACATATTTGTTCAACCATTCGCTTCAGAATGTGAAATTCTCACCATTGAAGTCACTTCACTAAGTTAAGAAATTGCACCCACCAGTCTCATGTTAAAACTTACATCTCTTTGCTGGAGAAGACACTTATTAATGCAAAAGCATATCAGGAATTCACAGTAGCTACATTCACCTAGTAGCCTCCACAGGGTCTTGTGCTATTGTTGCTGCTGCTGATGGTGACAGTGATGATGACAGGCATGCTCTTCGGGAAGGAGGAGCTGAGCCAAGTCTCCAGCACCTGGGACAAGACGACTGACTGTTGCCGGTCACTTACAGACGGGCTGTGCTTTCACAAACATTCTGCTGCCACACTTAGGATAGCGCTGAGAAGCACGCATCACAGGACCAACAATGAGAGCCTGCAGCTCGCTAGGATTCACAGAGCCGGAGACTAGCAGGGCCTTCCTCCCAGATCAGGCCTCCACACACACCCGACAGGCCATGCCTGCTTTGCCTTGCTCTAGAGCAGTGGTTCTCAACCTTGGCTGCACATTAGAATCACCTGGGAATCTTTTTAAAATCCTGATTTCTGGGCCTCCTCCTCCGGAAATTCTGTTTCTTTGTTATGGGGTGGGGCCACAACATTAGTAACAAAGAAACAGAATTTCCGGAGGAGGAGGCCCAGGAATCAGGATTTTAAAAAGATTCCCAGGTGATTCTCATGTGCAGCCAAGGTTGAGAACCAGTGCTCTAGAGGACTGTAGGTGAAAACGGATTGCACCTACTTCATAATTGGACTTGGCATCAGGCCCAATCAATCGCCAAATCCATCCATTTTTTTCTTTGGATTTCTCTCCATTTCCATTGCCACCCCTCAAGTTCTAGAACCTACTGCAGAGATTCTACCTCTAATCTCAACCTGTATGTATACTTTCTGCTCCTTTTTATTTTTGTAAAACCATTTTCATCAGTTTACAATTTTGCAGTTTTTTTTTTAACTGTCTTAGGGCAAAAGTAGTTTAACTTCAATGACTCCAAGAATCACTTAGCATGTTTGATGCAGATTCGTAAGTCCTGTTTTCTGGGGTTCTGGTTTAGACGATCTGGGATGGGGTCCATGGATCTGAATTTTGATCACCTCCACCCAGGTGGCAGTGGCCAGGCTCTCCTGGTCTAAAAATCACATTCAGAGGAACAGTGCCTGTCAGTGCATTACATCCAAACGCAGTGTTTCATTTGAGGTGCTCCAAAGTTTGGTGTATCAGACCTGACCCACCCTGTCTAATAAAGAGTAAATGTTGGCAGAGCTTTGGCCATGTGTAATATGAACTGAGAAAACTAGCTTCTATGAGTTAACGTAAAAAAACCATTGAAACCTGTAAAGAATTTTTGTGAGTTTATTTGAGCCAAACTGTCGACATATGCCGGGAAGCAGAACCTAAACGAATTGAGATAATGCTCTGGAGAATGGCGGGGTTACATTTGTATTTATACATTTGCAGTCGAAGGAGGGACATAGGTGAGTTACATGAAATTCATTGGTGATAGATTAAGGAGGGGAGGTGTGGGGGGTGGAAACCCCTGGGATTGGATAAAAAGCAA